CCAAAGCAAGGTGGATTCTAGTCTTCCTGGCTATATGACCATATATCCTTATATGAGACCAGTACTGGTTAGTTCCAGGAATCCAAAAAATGTTTCTTCACAATCCAGCTTTATCTGTATCATAAGCTTAATAAATACATCTGCGATATTGGGAAAGCTATAGTTCTTGGTGCAGTGCTGGAATATTTCTGTAGAAGTCATTCCTTTACAATGGTTCGTAATTCAACAACAACACAGATATCAAACAGAAATTTTAATGAACATAAAATGATAAAACGAAAAGAAAAACAAACATCTTTTGAGCCGCGTCACAACAAAACCAACATAGTGCGTTTGCGACCAGCATGGATCCAGACCAGCCTGCGCATCCGCGCAGTCTGATCAGGATCCATGCTGTTCACTTACCAACTCTATAACAAGTAGAGAAACTGATAGCAAACAGCATGGATCCTGATCAGACTTTGCGGATGCGTAGGCTGGTCTGGATCCATGCTGGTCGCAAACCCATTATGTTGGTTTTGTTGTGACGCGGCTCATTTATCAATCATAAATAAAGCAAGAAATGTTTTTGTCTAAGGCTAAGTATCATCATGAATTCAGTATTTCTTTTTTAAAGCTGCATGCCTCCAGATGAGCAAAAACTTTCATGATTTAATGTACTGTATCTTTACCATATTTCTATCTTTGTTAACTTGACAATATTAAAGTTTTAGGGACATTTAAAGAATTTAATGAACATGAGTAATAAAATATGAATCTGGAGGCATGCTACTTAAAGAAAAGTAAATTGGAGTTGGAAGTTCTTTTTCCATCAAATTAAACATTAATTATAAATAGTGAATAGCAAATTATAAACTGGCAGAATTATTTACATGAAATCAATAAATATGAAGTTATCACATACTTTAGCTTTTATGTTTAAAGGGACTCCACTGAGGTGTTTTGACATGATGGGACTGAAAAATATTTGTCCCAGATAAATATAAGTTTTGATGTAGGGTTAGACCACTAACCCTTGTGCAAAATTTCAGATCATTTGCACACTTATTTTTCCAAAATAAGTATTCAAATATTTAAGAAATGACCCAAGATGAAAAGCGTTAAAACGCTTTCCACTCAAATCGGGCTAAGAAAAGCATATAAATACTATTTTCTTTTCATTTCAAAGTATATTTCTTAACTATATTTGCATATGTTTGTGTTTAACGTTCCCCAGCTCATTTATGTAAGAATCTAATGTTTTAAACCACAGTGGAGTCCCTTTAAGTTTATGCAAGTTAATAAATAGAAGCACATATCATAATACTTGTTATAATATTCATAATAATAATAGTTCATTTTTGATTAATCACTCTTAATGATTAATATTAAGCAATTATTTAATTGAAAGACATAAGTGACTAGTATAAATCCCATAAATGCTGTCATGTTTAAGTCAGTGTTACATTAAAAAAAATAAATTAAAAACTAAAAACAAAAACTGGTCTATATTTGACAAACATAATATATGTGAACATATTTGCAATAAAAAATATCTTTAAAGAGTCAATGAGATCATTTCATGAAAGACAAAGTAAAAAATATTTTTTTTTAAAATCTATATACATGTAATAAAATGATATATGTGAAAATGTTTCTAAGAATAAATATTTCTCTAAAGTCCTTGAGATCATTTCATTGATTTTAAGACAAAATGAAAAATATTATTTTACAATCTATATACAGTGTATGTGTCAACAACTGTAAAGAAAAGTACATTGGAGTTTGAAGTTCTTTTTTCATCAAAGTAAATAATAATAATAAATTATAAATAGCAAATTATAAACTGGTAGTATTATTTACATGAAATCAATAAATATGAAGTTATCACATACTTAAGCTATTATGTTTAAAGTTTATGCAAGTTAATTAATAGAAGCACATATCATAATACTTGTTAAAACTTTGAAATGGTTCATTTTTGATTAATAGCTCTTAATGATTAAAATATTAAGCGATTATTGAATTGACAAGTAAAAATCCCACAAATTGTGTCACGTTTAAGTCAGTGTTACATTAAAAAAAATAAAACTAAAAACAAAAACTGGGCTACATTTGACAAACATAATATATGTGAACATATTTTCAATAAAAAATATCTTTAAGCTTAAAGAGTCAATGAGATCATTTCATGAAAGACAAAATAAAGAAATGTTCTTTAAAAATCTATATACATGCAAAAAATGTAGCCGGTCTCTCTGAGATTATTAACCATCATGCTTAATTTCAGCACTGTGTAATTGTCAATACACCAGATCAATTTCCAGAGATCAGTAAACATAAAACCAAATTAAATATTGAGCACATGCTGTTGTGATAGAAACAGCTTTTTATATCAGCACATACTGTTATATCAATATATATAAATATACAAAGTCACAGTTGTTCATAAAGTGCACTTTGATGCTTTACATTAAGCACTATGTTGAAGTGTCAATACACTAGATCACACTCTCTAGTGCAATGCGGACAGTACCAGTCTATGTTTTCCTCAATCCACTCTTCTGTGTATCGTGCACATGGCCAACACATCCAAACATCACATGAACAGTTTTTACAATCACAACCCACACTTGCATTGCTATTATCCGCCTTAATGCCATCTTCAGGGAGTATTTTGCCGCACTGGTAACATTTATAAATTTGTACGAGTACTTCACTCTCATTTTGTACTGAATTTTCTACAACAACTTGTAAGTCATTATTAGGTATATCCTCGGACATTTTATCACTAGGCACAACATTTTGCGTGAGGTCATCATTGGAATAATTATCTGATGCTTCTTGGGAGATGAGTAATGCGGGGGCAATCTGTGTCAAGAAAAATGACTCACATGCTGGTATCAATTTCTTTTGGTAGAATTCCTTATCAAATTTGACAGTTATTATCTTACAGTCTTTTGAGGTCCACACAACAAGATTAGCAAGTGTTAATCCTGTAATTCCAAGGAGTCCCTGCACTTGAGCATAATATCCATCTTGGGAATTTTTCTTTAGGTGTAGAATATTGTCCTTTTTCTCAAGATACTTGATTTTTTTTTCAGTCACAGCTTCTTCAACAGTCATATTCCTAGCAGAGTAGGGACATTTAATTTCAAGTAGTCGGCTCATACTACTATGACATCTGCAGGTAACTATTCCATCAGGCGAGCCTCTGACAAAGTTTAATTCTTTAGACACCATTAAACCATGTTCTTCAATTTTTAGATCAGAATGATATTTTGATACTTTTTGTAAGTACATCTTCTTTCCCTTGATCTCATTTGTTCTTCCCCATTTAATCGATGGCACTTTGGATAGGAAATTTTTACTGTCTGTATTTATTATGTCATTTACAAGAGTAGGATTTTCTTTTTCTTTCTCTACAGTCTTGATCACATTGAAAAATCTTGTTGCAGTAATGCAGCCTTTCCGTTGCTCCTTCCATTCTTGATTGATTGATTGCCCGACTGTAATTTTATCTACCTCTGATCTTTCACATGTGTGTGTAGCAGCTGCCTTTGTAAAACGTTCAAGTTCGTTCAATTTTGAAGCCTGGTGCTGATGAACTTTGGAATTTCTTACGCACTATCCTAGTAACAGGTAATGGTGTAGCTTTAATTTCTACTTCAGATGAAAAAGCCAGGAAAGGGCTACCCTCATGCATACAGTTTTCAAGACTTACTGCTGTATGATTAGTAACAACTTCCTCAATGTCCTTTTTAAATCTTTTCGGGTTTAGCACATTTACAGCTGAGCAGTACTGTCCCATGTTATGGTAGGTTGCATCAATCAAATCGGAATGGAGTTCTGCTACATCATCATAGCTAGGTAAGTCCAATGCCTTAACTTGTTTACCAAAGTCATCCAAAGTTCTTCGCATTTGTTGTTTTTCTTTCTTAATACTAAAATTTTCAAAAATATCAGGTTCAACATGACTGCCTTTAGGCTCAGTCCAGCTGCAAAGTTTGTCTGTACAAGATTTGGTGTCTGCATTGGTGAATTTAGATACCCCATTTGCCAACTGTTCAGCAACCAAAAACAATGTTGCACCAACATGTCCGCAAGTTTCAGAAAATCCAACTGTACAAGTACAGAAACCACTGTATGGATCACCAGTTATTTTATCTATTACAATGTACAGAACTTTAACATCATCTTGATTGGAAGACTGCGATGAATTGCATCTTGCGGAAATAATGCCAAAAGTATCTGATCCTACATTTTCACAATAACGCACTGTGTGCACACTACTTCGTAGCTGATATGGCCTTGAAAGTTTATATGTTCTAGCAGACGACTTATCCAATATGTTATAATCAATTAGGTATTTTTTCACACTGACGTCATTTATTTCTGGTAATTTTGAGATTTCATTTGTCCATTCTGAAGATGGCATGCCATGTAAAATCTTTGATCTTAGCTGATCTAACTCTTCATGCTGCTGTGATGTAAGACTGTCATTTCTTCGGACTTTACTAGATTTTTGAACATTTAAAGAATTTCCGGTTGTGGAAATTCCAAGTCTTTGACAAATAAATATTATTTTAGCTTTTTTTGGTAACGTTTTGTCTATATTGTATTCTCCACATAATTGCTTAAGTTTAACGGCTGACAGCGAGGCAATTTCATTATAAGTTTCGTAGCGTCTTGGCTGAAGGACATTACCCAAATATGTTTTTCCCTGAACATCTATCTTTGGGCCCATGTTGACAGCAAATGTCATCTGAAATATAATCAAATACACATCTTACAACTTTCCATCAACATATTGTACTTTGTAGTCAATACTTGTTATGTACTATGAATTTTGCATACATAAATGCAGTTTAACAACAGGCAAAAGGACCACTGACACTATGGACCATATTTAGAGCAGATCATGCTATGGAATTCAAAAAAAGTCCCTAGCTCAAAGATAATATTACCACAAGTTTTAATCCGAGGTAGCTTGAACTGAAGAATAAATTCAATAACGGTTTTATAACCGGATGGAAAAATCTCTAAAGCTTGAGCAACTGAAGACATATTCATTTGTAATATGCTTACAATAAATAGAACATTCTCGGTAACAGCCACATGTAAAGATGTTTGTAACCTGAGCAGATGTTAAACCAACTATCATGAGACAAACACTTTGCGACAAATGCCTCTTTCTATTATGTACATATAATTTACAGCTTGATAGTAGAAAAGGAGACTAACATCAAGTATACATACCTAACAAAGTCCCCAATGGCTTGTTAACTGATGGCACCATTATTTACATAATCAAAATGGCCCAGGCCCATTTATAAAAGGGGTCATCTTTGTGAATGCCAAACTATAGCTCCAGAGATAAACTGTAAACAGATAGAAATAAGTAGCAATTAATTCATTTCAAAATTAAAAATTATATAAAATTGGACCAAAATTTCAGCAGCTCAACCCATATATGTAAAACTGTTATATAATAAAATCTCTCATTTAGATAAAATAATTTAATAGGGGTAGGACTGCTGAAAGTTGGGTCCAATTTTGGTGTTGGACCCCTCTAATTAATTAGACTTAGAGCCTACTTCCACTGAACCCATGGATATTGAATGTAATGCAAAATTGTCTTTTAAAAGATCATGTTTAAACATCTTTGAGCAGTATTAACAAATTCAACAATACACATATAATTTACCGATGAAACCCACTTAAAACGTAAAATAATTACCCCACCCACTGCAACCGCAGGAAAATGTATGTTTTTACCTCATAAATTTGCAGATACGAACAGTTATAACGTAATTTAGGATTACTTGTTTGACATAAACATTTATTTTAAAACACATACCATTATCTGTAGTATTTAGGTATATTTAACCGCTAGTTTATGTGGAAATTTTCTGACGACTTTCTTTTTTCCAATCAGCTGTTTATTTTCACCGGAAGTCATGCGCGCGCACAGGATTATGGGAAACCGTGAAGTCGCGAATTGTGAGATCGTCTGCCAAGGGAAAGGTACAATTACTTTATCTGAAGTATTTTTTGTTAAACATAAACTATTTTAATAATCTATATTGACAGGGGCGTTGATATAACAATTAATACGTTCGTTCCTGGCTTATTATATTAAGATCAAACTGCTTTAGTTGGTAATCACAATGATCTCCCTTTTACAGTTTGGAATTTGTTTCGGCATGGTCAATTTGTTTTATTGTATTCATCCGGGGCTATCATAAATAAACCGTTTTTTTTTTTAAATTTCTAGTTTATTATGATACGTTTTTCAGGATTAGTTTAATTTCATTGTCAATGTTCTTTAAGGCAGCCCAGGCAAGTGTCTGCTTCTTTTCAAAATTTATTTTTAAAAAATAATTGAATTATTTTTGTTTTTCGTGTTTATTTTGCAGGTTGAAACGCATTTCATTGGGCTTAGACATGTTGAAAAAGCAGATGCAAAGCATATAACAGATGCTATCATGAAAATCATGAATGAGCGATTTGACAATAACTGGGCACAGAAATTCATAGCCATGGGCTGCGATGGTGCTGCTGTAATGTTGGGTGCAAAGAGTGGTGTGGCTAAACAACTCAGTGAAAGAACTGCACGCCCCATTTATACAATCCATTGCTCTGCTCACCGGTTAGTTTTATGAATGAACAAAAAATTTCTTAATTATCTATAATTTACAATTTCTACCTGAGCATGTTTGTATATTTATGTCTTAATTGATATAGAGTAAAAGCTAAATATAACACATATCATTTATGTATTATTTTCTTTTAACAGTTTACTTCTAATGACATATAAAGTGACATTTCAATATAATTTGACTAGTTGTGTTATTAGCATATATTTCTTTTCAGACTTGAACTTTGTTTTAAAGATGCAACCAAATGTCTGACGTCCAAGATACATGAGAAATGAGAAGCATTGCTGTTAAATCTTTACTTTTTCTACAAGTAAGAGATATAGAAATAAAACTAAATTATTCTACCAATTTTGAAAGTTTGCCTAAATTTTCAACATCCTATACATTTTGTTAAAACTCTTACAAGATATGATACAGTATACAGAACAATGTGAATATACAATTCCTGAAATATATTCCATCAGTATCAAATTTCATAATTGAATGATATTCCTTTCTTTTAAATGAATAAATAAAAAACTATATATTTTTGTACTAGATTGAGTCCCCTTAACCGAGCAAATTTGACCAGGTGTTTTAAATCTTTGGGTATCAACGTGGTTGTGCCAACAAGAGTCGGGGGTACTCGATGGCTTCCTCACACCATGAAAGCTATTAAGCACATTTTGACAGGACGAGAAGCTATCCTTAAACACCTGAACGAGGTAAGATATTTTTAGTGCCATTTTGTTATGTTTTAATTGTGAAACAAGCTTGTTTTGAATGCTATAATAAATTTCAACAGGTGTCAGAATATTAACATCTTGATTTAATATACAACTAAAAACCTTCATTTAATACATACTCTGGTAAATACAGATGCAGGATCCAGCAGGACCTACTCGTAGGAAAGACTCGGCTGCAAAAGCAAGGAATTTTCTGAAACTTCTTCAAGACCGTGAGGTCCTTGTGTGGCTACACTTTTTGATGGACTTAGTCTCATGTCTGGGAAAAGTGACTGAGATCATACAAAAACATAATGTTACCTTAGCTGAAGTTTGGAAGGAATTGCAATCTGCAAAATCAATGTTACAGAGATATTATACAAGGTAAAATAGCTGAAATATACACACTAATTGCATGTTGCTTAATTCTTATTTGAAGTGTAAGCATGTATATCTGTTAATATCTCTATCTTTGTCTCTGCTTTTTGCTTTTTAGTTTAGAACATAGCTAACTGTATAGTGCTTTTACCCTGTACCTTCAGTTTTTCTTGAGGATACACATACTTTTTGTGCTGTAATGATAACAAATATTACATTTTGATGTATAAATCAGGCAATAATTAATTTGCAACTCTCAAATTTAAAAAGAACTAAATGAAGGGTATGGTGTCCTCATCTTTATCTCTTTTAGTAGCATTACTTACTAACCCCTACTAATTACAACAGTGCTGGACCTTATCTGAGAAAGACAGAGTTTGAAGGTGTTGTACCTGCCAGTAGGCTTAAGCTTCTGCAGTCAACTGTTGCAGCTATAGAAGAGAGATTTAGTGGAGATCTTCAGTTTTTCAAGAGCAGTGCCTTTATAGAATTTAAGAACTGGCCTGATTCCATTGATGGTGACTTAGGTATAATTTGCATGTATTAAATAAGTAATGATTTACTTTACATGTACAATGAAAGTGATAATCAAACTGATTCAACTTGCTTTTCTTTTTTTTATATTACGTTTTCTTCCTTTTATGAGATATTTACCAATTTTTATTGAAAACATCATGCAGGTGACTTTGGTGATGATGAGGTCGTTCAAATGGTACAATTGTGTGAGTGGGCCCTTATTGCGTCAGGTTGTGAAGTTGAGATGGTTGAGACAGAATGGATCCGTTTCAAAACAGATGTATTCAATAGGTATTTGAAGTTTCAAATAACAGTGTATTTGGTTTATTTGAAAATAATCAGATTGTTTAATACATTTTATTTCCTTTAATAACGACTAATTTTCTTCTTTTATCATAATTAAGTATTGCCTTGTCAGACCAATAACATGGAAACAAAAAGTATCATGTACGATGTTTGTTTCATTTCAGCAAGAAGAAAATCATTCATTCACTGACTTGGCCTATGCTATGGGAATCAATGAGCAGTGACTATCCAAGTCTGTTCAAATTAGTTAGTCTCCTCCTCACTTTACCTTCTAGTTCAGTGGATGCTGAGCGGAGTTTTAGCAGGTATTTTTTTCTATTTTTATAGTTTTAATGACATTTTAAACAGAATTAAAATAATTTTACATGGTAATCATAAATATGTGCCACTTTAAACATTTTTTTTGTAAATACAGGAATATTGATAAACTGTTTAATCATATTTTGTTATAAATCCTGTTGTCCCAAAAAAGATTATCATTTTTTTCAATATTAAGGATGAAGCTGCAAAAGACTGATTGGCGGGCTTGTCTGGGTGATAGACATCTAACTGATTTGATGTTGATTTCACTTGAGGGAGACGAATTAGAGGATTTCAACCCAGAGCCAGCACTTGAGATATGGGAGAACTCTGGCATCAGGTCAAGAAGACCTTATTTCAATGATAAAGGGAGACAGAAGGTAAATTTGATTTCATGCTAATTTATTTTGTAGACTTGATAATAATTTGTGTATAACATATTTATAAAAAATGTAATTTCAACCCATTTTATGAATAAAGCTTTATCTTAATAATATTTTCTTCCAGGCCACACTGGTGACACAGGAAGAAGAGAATGATGATATTCAGCTGGTGAACTTTGATATCCTGGCAGATCAAGCTGGAGCTCTGGATGATACTGTTACATCTGTAGAAGATCAGGATGATGAGCAGTATGACGAACAACATGCCAATGACCTTATAACATTACAACAGAAATCATATAGACTTTTGCTCTCTTTAATGACTGAACATGTTATCTGAATAAAAACATAATATATTAATCTGAATAAAAACATAAAACATTTAAGATGTGTGTTTTCTTCACTTATTAATATAAGTTATTATATCTGTAACCAGTTACTAAAATCATACCTGGAGTTAAAATTGTTTGAAAAATTTAAGGACCACTTGACTTCAAGAAGGACCACCTAGATTTCAGATTTAGTGGTCCGGCTGACCACCTACTCAAAAAGTTAGTATCGAGGCCTGTAATGTGTTACAATTTATACACTGTCATAAACTGATATAAGTAAAGGTGAGACAAATCAAAGAGTAAGTAAATACGCCGTGATATTTATATGTAATTTTCATGTTTCACAGTGCCTGATCTTCACGTCTAAATTTCCCTGTCATTGAATCCACAACCATCTTAGTAAGTAAAATAAGCGTATGATGATAAAGATAAATTAACTTCCGTGAAAAGTATTTTGAACGGATAATATTCTTTTTGGAAAGAATGGCTCATATAAAAATTATATAGCCATGTACGGGTCTTCATTGTTAATTCCTTTTGGGTGAGTTCAAACTAAACCAGGAAAGAACATTACTTTTTTAATTGATATTATCTAATTTTATATGCATATATTTTCCGCGTCAAAAGCAAAGACTTTGGCTCACTAAAGTTGCATAAATAATCAGTGCCTGAAAAGATATGACACTTTTTAAATTATTTTGATGCATAGAATTAAGTAAAGGAAAGACATATAAATATAACAAAAACCAATAAAAATTTCAAATATATATTTTGACATTGTTTTTGTCCGAACATTTTAGAAATTCGAACGACAAAAAGTATATTTTATGCACTTCTTATGTACTTCCTTGCGCACAGAGAGCATCCATCGTTTCAAAAACTATATCCCTGCTTTTAAAATTGTTGTTATTTAATAAAGATTTTCATCAAGATCATTTTACCAACTTCTTTTTCGTCTATTCTTTTCTATTCCAACTGTTGTTTATATTTCTAAAATGATAACAAATTACTGATTTTTGACTGTGAATAAATGCATCCTAGTTAATTTTCAATGTGTTTCAGCAGATAAACGGGATATTATAATAACTAATCCCTTAAAAATATTATCATTAACAAATGTGTGACTGTCGAACAAGTTGTTAATATTTTATTTCTCAGAGATAGACAAATTAACCTTGGTTACAAACTACATTATTTTACATGTATAATTGTAATTTGAGTTAAGTTTTAGAAAATATAATACTTATTTTAGATAAGTGAGCAAACAGATAGGGGCGTTAAGCTGTATAGCCATGTGAAGTTATTTATAGGCTTAGGCTGTTTGGCAGCTGTAAAAAGTTGCCCCGTACTTCATTTCAGTGTTGTTATATTTTTCTGGTCCTTTGAGATCATTGATGCTAGCACTATTAAGTATTGAGAATTAAGTACCGCTCAAGTCGGTGCTAGGGGGCGTGAGGGATGTTGCACATATTCATTATGCCTCATTTACAGACTGAATCAAACCGAGTCTGCAATTCTCTTGTAATTTTGTTGTGATTTATGCTTCTGAGGGATCACTTTGTTTCCAGATTTTTATCTTATACCCAGATATATAGTTTATAAATAGATTGATACAGAAATACGACAATTGAGAAATTTACTCACAATTTTAGTTAAAAAAATATTGTTTTAAATAGATCATTGTATAATTTACAGAATGATGAAAACAGGAAACAGGAAAGATTGAAGGTCGCACAAAACGCTGAAAATTTGAAATATTGCAGGCTTGGATTTATTATGCATGTTCATATACGGTATTATCTTCCATACACTGCAGGACTGGAGTGTGTGGAATTATATATATATACAAAAATTAATTGTATTAATCAAATCCAAACGGAGGGGATCATTTAACCTTAAATGTAAAAATTTGTTACGACACGATAATTTTACACTTATTTGTCTAGTTTTGACCTTTACATACACTTTGTCATATTCCATAACGTATAAATTTTATTGCTGAATATTAAAACGCATAGTTCCTTCATTTTTAAGGGTGTGCCTGCCTTTTCCCTAGACAGATATCAATTAATACTTTGTTGACAAACGTTGTGTCATGTGATTTATGATATCAGATTTAAATTTTCCATTTATAATGCAACACTGGGTAATACATTAAACCACAATTATCAGGATGAAACTGCTTCTTCTAAAACGATACACACTGTACTCATGAAAATAATTCGTTCATACCACTGAGGAATACTATTTTGACTTTAATTCACGCAAAAGTGGCAGATATCAGGATATTTTCTATATAAACATTGGCAATAAATTGAAATATCTCAGCAATGCTGACTGCTTGTCGTGTATGTCTTTCAAAACATCGAACCAAATCCTTCTCAAGGGGACATACAAAAAAATGTCGGTAAAACAGTCATTTCATCTTTATAGCTAAACCGAATATTGCTTAAATCTTAGGGTTCCTATCTAAAGAAAACCTAATACAATACATCAAATTGTTTTTACAATCGTCCCAAAGTCAAGGTAAGATCAAAATGCAAAAGACTTTTTTAATAAATGGAACGAGATTCCGGTATCATTTTAATTGCCTCTTAAATAGAGCTTTATGTACAATTAAGTTACTTATTGATATATCGTTTTTAGTAAAATTAGATCACCCATGTTTGTTATTTTGAACATAATTGTCTGAAAATTGCATCTAGGCGCTAGGTTATAACACTGAATGTATTGCTTATTGGGAATAATTGTTTGTTCCGAAGGAAAAGATAATTGATTCAAGAATAAAATAGAAAAAGTCTCATGCTATGATTCCACTTATAGTAATAGATTTTACTTATTTATAGGTATGCGCTTTTTATTGCAACAATGTCCAATATACATTTACTAAGTGTTTGGCTAGAACATAATTAAAGAAACAACTGGAGTATGTATTTAATTTCCATCATTTTAGTAATTGGATATTTGTTATTTCACATTATTGTTGGGCATTTTGAAATGCAGTTTTAAGGAAGGAGTTCGTTTTGTGTTCTAGCGTTTCTTCGTGTTGATGAAGGGGCACCTTTGTGCCATTTTGTTGCAATTATCGATATTTCTGGTTCTTTTATTGATAAGTCTGTGGTAGCCGAGCTTTATCTTAATATTGTAAATTTTTAAATTACATTAATTTGGAGACGTTTAATGTGAAGATTGAATAACGTTTGAGTCTATGCAATGGGGCATTTAAGATGCAGCACTCTTTCTGTTGCATCTCTCGTGAATAAAAACCGAGTTAAGGATATCAATCTTTTTGTTTTTGTCTCCAAAAGTTATATTAAAATTGTTGTATATTTCAATAACTAATGTTTAAATTCATTACATGGATTAGAGTATGCAGATCATAATTAATAAATGAAAATTTGAAATTTGTTCAAGTGTAAGCAACAATTTTCAATTTACAATTTCGTTCAATATACAAAAGTAGAAATATTATATCGCCAAGGAATCGCGATTTTACTATAATTAACACAATAGTAGCGTGTGTAAAATATTTCATGTTTAAATAATGACAATCGAATAAAATATTACAGCAATGATGTCAATTTTGGCGTATGTGTCTTCAGAAATGTGTCCCCGGGGATCCTACAGATCCCGACAAAAACAGGCAGTCACATGTTGCATAGTACCGAAAAATGAATTATATCTTCACATATATATAGTTGATGACTTTAAATGAAAAAATAAGAAAAGCAAAAAATAAAACATTGTCCGTGGGTATCAATTGAGTGTGTTATATATTGATTAAGAACCCATTTACGTATTGGTGAATACAATAAAAAAAATGAAAAATATATAGTCGGATAGTGAACGTGTATTATATAGTAAATACACTATTTCCTTGTTAATATTTTAAATGACATACATTAGTGAAAGAAGATAACAGTGTAAATTTTACATTATATACTCGTTTATACAAGTAAAATGTACAATCGTACAAAAAAGAGCAATAAACAAGCCACAAGTTTTCCATTTGCTGAAATGCCAACCGAATTATTTGATATATTATATGATATAGTTATTTTATAGAAATTTCATTTCTTAATTGATATGTCATATAATCGCCCACGTTATATATATAATTGTTACAACATCTTTAGTTTGTAATTCAAGAAAAGATTTAATTAAATTAGCATTGACTTAGATTGATTTAAAACCAATTTCCTTTCATTTTGTCTGCATTTTATGCAATATATGTCAATTGGGTAAGATATCTGCTTATAAAAATTGCAGTAAATTTGATTTAGTGATCTGGTGTACTAAAGTAAATAATAAAGTCTATCATAATGCATCATAATCTGTGTATATTGCAGCAATTAAAAGCACTTTAATATAATAAAAAAAATGTTAACAAATTTTGAAAATACGTCTATATACGCATAAATTAAAAATGTTCAGCAATATTATAAAAAATAGAGCTACGTAGGTGTCTGTTGTACTGACTTACTTATATCATCTTGCGTCCTACTTTTATTAAATGCATTGAAAAGTCATTTACGACGTTTAAAGGAAACATGATTCGTGAATGTATGTTCAGTTTTACAATATTTCATAGAAGGTGTAAGAAACGATTTAATTAGTAATGAGTTGTTACACTTATGTGTCTTTATGTACATACATATCCTAATGACATTTGTTTTTAAACTACTAAAAGTACTCAAAGTCCATTTTCAAAAACAGATGAAACAACGGGTTTCTACAAACTAACTAACTGCAAGTCAAGAAAGGAAAAAATGTCACAAACTCGTTTGTAGTTTGTTTTGATGTAAGTTTGTGCAAAATAATTAAATATAAATATATAATACCCTGTTTGATCTATCCTGTTCATATTCAGGAGGAGCAATGTAAAGTGCAGCCTACTGGTATAACACATCCCTCTACAGAAACAATTATCTGCTGTAATACATAATCTAATGTGAGCATCATTAGAGGATTTTAAAAAATAAAAGATAAATCACTTGACCTAGATCTTTTGTATGAGGT